CAAGGATGAAATGGATCGAGGAACAAATAGCGGAGCTGAAGAAGCGAGAGGCTTCGTCCCCTGCCCGGGATCAGGGAAACTAGTGAAAGCCAGTACTAAGCGGCGAGTACTGGCTGACGCGGAGGAAGCCGCGATAACTGTTATCTCCCAAGCATGCAGCGGGAATAGTCTTGTGATTCAGGGGACTATTAACGGGACGGATTGCAAAATGACTCTAGACACAGGAGCCTCTAGAACAATAGTGAACCCAAATCTGGTAAAAGCCGCAAGGGGACACAAGAGGAGGATTAACTGCCACCGGTCAGCCAATACCCGTCCTGGGAGAAATGTCAGTCACGATGTTTGTAGGGGGGTCCTCATACTCTTATAACGTCATAGTGGCTGAGATTATGGATGATAGCATCTTGGGTTTGGATTTCATGAAGAAACACAACTGCAGAGTTAATGTCGCTGACGGAGTTTTCCAGTGTGGTGAAGAAGAAATCTTCATTCTTGGAGACACCTGCGGGAACGTCGCATGTGAAAAGATAGTCATTATACCTGGACGAGCGGAAGCTCAGATGCTGGTGAAACTGCCGCCAGCTGTAAAGAAAATGTCAAACAGATGCGTGTTGATCGAAGGCACACCTACCAAGACATCGGCGCAAAAACTGATGACGGCGAGAACCCTTGTTAGTGGAAGCAGTAACGCTGTGGTCAAGGTTTTGAATCTTGGTGATCGCGAGGTCTGCTTGAACAAAGGTGACGTCATTGGTAAGTGCGAGGAAGTTGTCTGGATGAAAAAGTGTAGTTCGGTGACAGGTGGCCCAACATATTGTTACGAACACATAAAGAAACGAGCGCCATCTAATGAATAACGTCTTCAAAAGAGTCAGGATGTCTTTCTCTCCAAATCCTTCGAACCCTAACACGTAACAATATCAACGAGTTGGCTGCCAAACTAAAAGGAGTAGGCAGCCTAAGATTCTCCCGCCTCAAGAGAAACAGTATACCAGGACTAGCGACAAGATTCGCAGACAAAAAATGAGGACTGCACCACTGGGTGCATGTCTCAGCTTGATATACATTCACTGATGAAAATCCGACAGCTTATTGTTTGGAAGAATCAGATTGCTAAGTAGCAGGTTATATAAAGAACAAAAAAAATGTTTCATAAGGTCAAGAAATTCGCCACGTTGAATGCAAATATTAAAAATAGTTGCCAAGTAAGATTACATCAATAATAGAACTGATGACCTTGACAGAGATCCCCGATAGCAGTTCTTTTAATATCTAGAGATTTGAACTTTTTAACAGAATTGTTTTTTGTTCACAATATTAAATTTAAAGTTTACATTCAATAACATTTTTCTTTAGTAATGATTCGGCAACTGTCGGAAAAGAGAGAAGTGAATTGGTTGTAGAAACTGGAAAATCAACGAAAAATTTCTACAACAATAAATCAACCTCCTGATTTGAATTTGAATTTTCGTCAGCGTTACAAAGTTCCGGCAAGGTAGGCGCCACATAGCACGCAGTCATGCACCAATGTTCCACAGGTGTTGCCCTAACACCAACCCATGGGAACCCTGCATGTCACCTCGATGGTTCGATGTCCGTCTTAACAAGGGAACTCAATACAGAGATACGACAAGTTGCCCTCGATGGTGCGGTGCAGATAGAGGGGCACTTCGTGATATCGGTGCGCCTCCCTTATGCAAGCTCAGGGCAAGAGAAGAATGTGTTGGCGATGTCGAGTAGTTTTGTGCCTGCTCGATCCTTTAGTTTTGTGCCTGCTCGAGAAGTCCTTTAGAAGTGCGCTCTGAACTAGTTCATTTCGAATAGTGAACTAGTTCATTTTTTTTAATTCTAATAGCTCTTTTTGGTCTTCTGCCAGGTTAGGAACTCTTTTTTGAAACATTAAAAGCAATGATACAATATTCAATAACTCAACAAAGTCACTCGTACACACACACTTACACTTAATGTTAATAAAATATAAGTTTATACTTTAAAGCAACGAGTTGATCAAGAAACGAAACAAAACAATCAAATAAGAATAATGTTAGTCACAGAAAAATTATTTACTTTAACATAAAAAATATAAAAATTTACATAAATTTAAATTTTACCACGTTTGAAACTTCCCATAACCATTCGCCATTCGCATTGATGGTATGTTTTCATCCTGGCGTGAATTACGAGCTGGAGTGCCTCAAGGTGGTGTGTTGTCTCCATTACTCTTTGCTATCTTTATTAATTCAATCTCTCACAATATTACTTCTCTCTACCATATGTATGCAGACGATTTTCAACTGTACACACATTCAAATCTTGAAAATCAGCCCACTGCTGTTACTGCCATTAATGGTGACCTGGCGGCTATTAGCGAGTGGAGTAAGAGCTATGGTCTTAAGATTAATCCTTGCAAGTCCCAGGCCATCATTGTTGGCGGAGCTGGCATGATTTCAAGGGTAGATTGGGATAACCTTCCCTCGATAACATTAAATGGTGTTGTGGTGCCATACAGCAAAACTGTTAAAAACCTTGGTGTTCACTTCGACTCTACTTTCTCGTGGTCTCACCAGTTAAAGGAAGTTAGCAGGAAAACATTTGCAGCCATGGGTTCTCTGCGGCGCTTACGTTGTTTTCTCCCCATTCCTACTAAGATTATGTTAGCACAATCCTTACTTCTTTCCATTTTCGATTATGCGGACGCAAGCTATCTTGATTTAACCGAGGACCAACTTAACAAGCTTGAGCGAATTCAAAACTTAGCTATCAGATTTATTTTCGGTCTATGCAACTACGGTACAAAGCTCAAGTGGTTACCCCTTAGCCGCCAAGTTAAGCCTTCGCCGGAATCTGCATATTGTTTCTCTTCTGTACTGTGTTTTGTTCTATCCTAAGACTCCGAGTTATTTGAAGAAACAGTTTAAATTTTTTGGTCATGACAGACCAGAAAGTTCTGCGATCAGCCAGAGAACTTATTATCACCCCGCATACTTTCCAGACCAACTATTTTAAGACTCTTTTACGGTCAAAGCCATTTGCCTATGGAACGCGCTTCCTCCACAAATCCAGCGCTGACGTTACGTAAGTTTAAAACTTTAAAAATTATTATCTGTCACTGTGTTCAAGCTGATTATCACCGACGACATTTGCATATTTATTTATTATTATTTTTGCTTTTCTTCCTGTATATATTTTTGTAAGTTATTGTATTGTATATTATGTTTAGATTTATGTATGTCTATTGTATCTTATTTGGTATATATTAGTATTATTATTATACAAAAATACAACATATTCGTTTAGTTTATTTAAATGTTAGTATGTAAGTTTATCATTTACACCACCTACCGTTGTCCAAATTAAAATATATTCGCCTTATTTTTTATACCTCTTAAATTTATAGTTCTGTACCATTTCCTTTTATGTTTTTTGGTGTTGAATAAAGTATATATAATAACCATCCAAAGCATGCGAAAATAAAAAATTTACAAAACCACAATTAGTATTCAAAAAGTATATCTCTACTATATTTTAAATCACCTCTAAGCGCTAAGGCCGCCAATTGTACCTTTATGTAATTGTTTATTACTTTTGCAATTTTTCCTGGTGTATAATAAAGTGTATTTCACTACATTCTATTTTAACTATCTTAAAAAATTTGACTTGTTCGATAATATAGTAATTATGTACCTACTTATTATATAGACAATAAACACAAGTCTCCCGCCTTTTTGCGTCATTAAGCTAAAATAGTTGTTACTACATTGGTAGGTAGTCAAGTTTGAGGGAGCGACAAAGACTTTTTAAAAAAGTTTTATTTAAAAATTAATACTATGTCTTATTACTAGTGAGTGTCTTAACAGATTTAGATGCTAGAGACGACTCGTGAGACGTCTGAACAGAATGAGATGCTCGTGACGACTGCCAGTTCTGTGTCTTACAATTATGTCTTACATTTCTAACTTTATTATCTAATATAAACAATTTTCACGTTACTGTCTGGCGAACAGGATGCCTATATCTGCGTTAGCAGTTTCATGAGAATTGTTACTGGCGAACCTGATGCTTTTATCTTCGTTAGCAATTTCTCAAGAATTGTTATTCGACCACTGTTATCGCTATGCTGACTGAGCAGTCTCGAATGCAGGTGTTCTTATCAAGCGCCCGGGTGGTCGCATAACTAGGTATACAACAAAAATATATATACTCACAGTTTAACTGATTTGTTTGGTGAGAAATACTAATAATCATCGTTCACCGTAATTCGTCGGGTCTCAACCGATATACTCTTCTACTCGGTCACCGATCGACTCTCTCTCTCTCTCTCCTAGTCTCAGTGATCAGTCGCGTACGTTTTGTTCGATTCGGATGATTTGTGTTGGTAGATGTATGGAAAGAACGAACGAGCTATTAGACCGATTAACAGTTATCATTCGGAAATGTTTCTTTTATTGTTATTAAGAATTTGATTATAATTAAATTTTTGTTCGCTTTTATTTACATATTAAATTAAAGTAACTTTAGTTGATTCCATTAATATTTTGCATGCTATTTATAAATGACCTTAAAATGTAGTTCAATATTACCTAATGATTTGTACTTGGATATGGATAGTAAAGTATGCAGCATGAAATTGTAATATAAATATATAGTTCTTATACTATAATTTCACGCTTCGTACATAAAATACAAAATAATTATAATACAAAATGCTTTATTCAAATATTCAAATTATGCAAATTCTGTATCCGCGACAATACTAGTCTTAAACAAATGTTTTTTTCTGTTCATTTTTATCTTTTATGGCTTTGAATCAGTTTGAACAAAAATAGTTTTTGACACGATTTCGATATTCAATTTTTTGTATTGATATATCGGATCAAACACATAGATCAATAGATAGATCAAACACACATTACATCGGCCAAAAATATCGATATATTTAAAAAAAATCGATATTTTTCCGGCATCCCTAGTCTCACTAGTCTGTGTCAAAATGTCAATCAAAGATTAGCAGCAGCTCGCCGCTGTTAATGCAAATTGCAAAAGTTTGGTTAACTTTGAATCGTAACATTTCGTGGCTATACAATTATTATAGTAATAAAAGAATAAGTAAACGAATGCTATTGGATAATGGAAGATCATGATCAAGAATCGTTAGATACTCAAGAGGTAGGGCCTGTTGAAAATGCCTGGGCTATGAAAATTCCTAAATTTACTCCAGAAGATAACCCTCATGGTTTACTCGAGGAAAGTAAATTTGCAACTTTGTTTCCAAAATATAGAGAACAGTATTTGAAAGAATGTTGGCCCCTTGTGCAGAAAGTTTTAAAACAACATCACATTGTAGCAGAGTTGGATCTCATAGAAGGCAGTTTAACAGTCAAAACAACAAGAAAAACATGGGACCCGTACATCATTATTAAATCTAGGGATTTTATGAAATTGCTGTCTAGAAGTGTACCTTTTGAACAAGCCGTTAGAGTGCTTGAAGATGAAATTGGTTGCGATATAATAAAAATAAATTCATTTGTACGTAAAAAGGAAACATTTTTGAAAAGGCGTCAACGTCTTATTGGCCCTAATGGCGTTACACTTAAATCAATTGAATTATTAACTGAATGTTATGTACTTGTACAAGGAAATACAGTTTCAGCAGTAGGCCCATACCAAGGTCTTATTCAAGTAAGAAGAATTGTTGAAGATACAATGAAAAATATTCATCCAATGTACAACATTAAAAGTTTGATGATAAAAAGAGAACTAATGAAAGATCCTCAACTAAAAAATGAGAGTTGGGACAGATTCCTACCTAAATTTAAAAGCAAAAATGTACCACGAAAGCAACCAAAACATAAAGTTAAGAAGAAACCATATACACCATTCCCCCCACCACAACCCGAAAGTAAAATTGATCATGAATTGGCTACAGGAGAATATTTCCTTAAAGATCAACAGAAAAAAGCTAAAAAACAACATGAAAAAGAAGAAAAGCAAATACAAACAAAGAAAATTAGAGAAGAGGAGAGAAAGAAAAACTTTATACCACCAGAAGAAAAACCCAACGAGGCAGTGAAATCTTCGCTTGAGTCTGTTGTTGATTTAAATAAATTTAAGACTAAAATAAAAAAATTATCAAAAAAAAAAAACAAAAAGTGATAAAAAAATAACATGATTTATCTATGTATTAATATAAGTGAATAAATGAAACAACATATATGGTGTATTAATTTAATTTTGTTTGTTTTATTAATTTTAATTTTGGTACTTTTGTATTTTTCATAATGTGGGTATTCCCGTTCATAAATGGTTGTAAAACTTCAGGAATATAAATTTTTCCTCTTGAATCCTGGTGTGTTTCAAGCAATGCTATTTGCATTCTTGGAACAGCACAAGCTGTACCATTTAATGTATGGACATAGTTTTCAGAATCATGGTCAGAATATTTAATATGAAGTCTTCTAGATTGGTAATCGGTGCAATTGCTGCAACTTGATATTTCTCCATAAGAGTTTCGACCAGGCATCCAAGCTTCAATATCGTATTTCCTAAAATTTGTAGGTTGCAGACTAAATGATTAAAATTTTATAACTTAATTTACACAAAGAAAAATTTTTTTGTCAAATTAGAGAATAAAGTGTTATACATAATATTTTTACAAGGTATGAATGTACCAATTATTAAGCTTTTACTACAAATATTAGCTCTCGCGGGAAAGCTGGCAGATGTGAAACATCAAAATTATGATTAAAAGATAATATGCATAAAGGATATTTTGTCAAAGAAACTAAATATGACAGTAAAATTTAAATTAACCAGCTTTTTTTTAAAAGAAAATATGATTTTTTATTTAAAAAGACATTAATTTAATACAAAAATTAGAAATGCAATAATTTTGGTAACACACCAGCCATATATGATGTTGCTTACTATCTTATTATCATATTTTTTTTAAGTCAAAAGTGGCCTAGCGAGCAGGTGGTTCACCCAATGTTAAGTGAATACCACCGCCCATGGACATCTGTTACACCCAAGGGTTTACACATGCATTGAATACCTTTTGAAAATTGGGCTCCGGCTACCTTACTCACCAGACGAAACGCGAAAGTATTATACTTCCACTTTACGCCGGTCTTCTGTGAGGTTGTGGTACTAACCCAGAAGAGCCTGCCCATTCGTGTAACAGCCGAGGCTGCTGCGGTGCCCTATTGTTCGCACAATGCCATACCAACAGTAGGTCGGACCTACGTATGTCACATCAAAATTAAGTTTTAGAGTGACAATTATTGATTGAATTTGTCATGAAACTTCATTTAACCTAGTTAATTTCATATGTTAAAAGTATACCCTCCTTGAGCAGTCAGGTAAAAACAAAGAACTTAAGTATGGGTTAAAAAATACTGGTAACATTTATTGATTAAATGAGTACTCCACTAATAATAAATTAATATATTCAATGCCAGTTTAGTTAGTACTAACTGAAGTAATGTGTATAATATTTTTGTAATAGGTAGACGGTTAGATGGATTTTGATGCCTTACCTATATGCTGGGGCACCTAACTCATGAGGTGGCATGTCCAATACTCTCATGTGAAGACCTAAAGGTGTAAATAGTTCTTCTTGGACATTTCTTATGTATTCCAGTATGTCATCAGAGTGCTGAGGTTTACAAATCACAAACATCTCAACTTTAGTGAATTGATGAACTCTTAAAATAAAATAAAAAAATGTCCAGATCTTTCTTTAAGAAACAATAATTTGGAAATTAATATGTAAATTTACCTATATGTCCCCCTTTCCTCAATAACATTTGATGTTTCAGCTCTATAACACCTGCTAACAGCAGCTAACTTAAGAGGAAGTTTTTGTGCCAAATGTATAGTATTTGAAAGTAGGCCTGCCAAAGACATTTCTGCTGTGCCTGATAAATACATATCATGCCCATGGTGATTAGGATCTAAGGAGTATATCTGTGAATAATCCCATACTATTTTGACATAAAAAATACTGATAAGTATACAAATTTTATTTAAGAAATTTAATTGTACCTGTGTTCGATCATTATTGACTGTCACACCACAACTTTTTAGTATATTACTTGGTAAAATATCAGGAACAGATATGAGTTGAAATTTTTTGTTTAATAAGGTACTAACTGTGTATTTAATTAAAGCTTCCTCTAATTCTGCCAAAGGCCCAAAGTAATAATAACTTTTATTGCCACAAGTGTATCCTAATTTGTCAGTTCTCATCAAATTTAACCGATCTGTAATTTCACTAAATTCTAATGGTGTATGTTTACCAAAATCTCTCTTTTCATTAATTTCATGTGACACATATGGCTCGTCATGATATTTTTGGACAGTTGGGTGAGTTTTATTTGGTAAATTGCACAACTCTTTATACAAGTTTGATTTTATAGCTTCATAAGCATTATCTGTGATTGGTGTCAATTTAAATACTTTATATAAATCCAGAACTTTATCAATATCACCCACGCCTTTTCTTATTTTAATGTTGCTTTTAATTTCTTCAAAATTTTTAGCATTACAATAATAATCTATGTCAAAATCAGGAAGTGCACATGATGAAAATAACTTCATAGATTTTATCTTTGAAGGACAAAAACTTCTTATAATAACCCTTAAAATCATAATTGTAAATCCTTCAGATTTTAAAAAGACAATTATTGTGTACAGTTACGTATGATTTACCAATTTCTTCTTCTTGGATTAGGGTACCAAATTAATTAATTTACATAAATTCCTAGATATAACAAATGTAATTTAAGGGAAGTTAGTTACATTAATTGTAATTTATGACATTTGGTAGGCATGCCTATAGTGTTACCAACTGTTGAAAAAAAAATAACTTCAAAAGAAATTCAAAAACCTCCTAAAATGCACTGTTTTCAAAAAAACTTACTAAATGAAAAAGTCGTAATTCTTTTAAAATTAGCTATGAAGGTGGAATGATTATCGGAAAAAATGAACTATCTGGGTAATCAAAACTGTTTTATTTTAAAATTAATTTACTTGACCTTGAACATTTTTCATTGACTTGAAAATTATTTATACAAATTAAATACATTTTATTGTAACGTTATATTATTTTTAAGAAACAGGCAATAAACAATGGGAATAAACATCATTCAATCATAAAAGATCTGAATTAAATATGCCTTTAAATTCATTGTCTTTTTGCCATTTAGCTGCATATTTATAAACATATCCGATGGCAAGAGTTTATGGCGGAAGAATTAAAAATACTACATAAGCCAATGCAGCCAACACTAGTCACTGTTATATACAATATACAATGCTGCCAATACTATTATATTATATTTCGTGTTTAAAATTGTGTAGTTATTTTTTCAAAAATGTGAATAAAATTTCATTCCTAAAAATATTCCCAAAAAATTTCTCCTCCTAAAAAAATTCCATTGTAAATTTAGGAACAAAACTTCTAAGTTTGCATCCGTGAGGCATGCGCAAAATATATCGATATATAAAAAATATCGATATATATATATATATATATATATATATATATATATTATATATATCGATATTCGGTATTCAGTTTCGACTGTCGATTTCATGTCAATTTCAATATGTTTATCAGCTACAAAACTCTGATTTGGTGTCTAATGATATTAAATGCGTGCAGTGTGCAATTCCTTTCTTTTAATAATAATAATAATAGGCGTAGGGAAGTGACGACCCCATCATCCACCGGCGTAACAGTTCAAGTGACAGAACTGTTGCGTCGGCGCAATCAGTCAGCGCCTTGCCAAGAGGTGTCTGCACCGTGCCTCGGCAAAAGTTAGGGTGCATAGGCCCGCCTGTGCGTATGGCCACACAATAGTGTTTCAATAGAAAACGGTGCCGGTCTGGGGGCGTCTTCCGTTAAACGACGCCCTAAACAATAATGGATGATGGACTCTCAAAGAAAGCGCATAGGGCCGCTGCCTGGGGGCCGCCAGGGCGCGTCTGGAGCTGGCGCTGGACGTAGCAGCATGCGGGACGCCAGCCGATCGCGGGGTACTGCACGACCACCATGCAGTACCTCGCATCCATCATCCCCACCAGTTGGCTTGGTGTCGGCAGGGTCCTCTCGGATCCAGCAATCGGCACCCGCCGCTGGTGGAATACGCCGCTTGCGATGGACGAAGGAGATGAATGAGAACGCAATGCGGGCGTATCTTAGGGCGAAAGGGAGTGAAACTGGAGGGTTTGCGTATCGGGCAAGGATGCATCGCTTTTTTGCTGAGCTGGAGCCGTCTGTAATCGTCACCGAGCAAAACCTGGCAGACCGAGTTCGGTACATCACGCGTTCGAAAATATTTGATGATGCCGAACTCGAACGACTTCGACGTGAGGCTGTTCCCTCATCGGACGAAAATGCAGTAGCTGGAAATGCGAACCCGCAAGCTGCGGATCTCGCGGGGTTACAAGCGGAAGCGGAGGCCGCGTTTTACCCCCCAGCTCCTGTAGATTCGTTCGATGACGGAATAGTCGACCAAGATATAGAGCAGATGAGAAGCATATTGGAGGAGGCAATTCTGGAGGTGCGCGAAACGCCTCTCGAGAATCGACCACGTCTCCCCCGCATACCCCTGAGTAAGCGAAGTCGGTCTGTCGTGAGGTCTCTTAACCCGATGCTGGCAACCTATTTGGAAGCTAGCCGGGACCTTTGCGATACGGACTCAATTCTCTTTGGCGCTGCACTGGCAGTATGCCGAATCGTTGGCGCCAAACTTCCAGATTCTGGACGTGCTACCAGACCAGGTAGCACTATCCCAGCATGGAGAAAAAGAATTGAGGATCGTATCGCAAAGGTAAGGGCCATCATCGGCAGGCTGATAAGCTTCAGGTCGGGTAATAATAAACCCAGAATTGTGCGCACCGTTAGGATGGCGTTCGCTGGGACCAATATCAACTTGTCCCAGCCGGATATTACGCAAAAACTAACGGAGCTCATAGATGACCTGAAGCAGAGGATCGCTGCTTGGGGGAAGCGGATTCGGAGATATACCGAGAGGACGGCGCGGTTTAGCCAGAATCGCCTCTTCCAGAGTGACCAAAAGAGGCTCTACAAATCTTTGGAGCGACCAATGAGTTGTGGAACGGGCCATGGACCGGACCAGACGGATACTGTCGCCTTCTGGCGCAGCCTGTGGTCAGAGCCTGTAGACCACAGCGAGGGCCCTTGGACACAAGTCGTAGCGAGCCAATGTGCAGATATTACACCCATGGACCCCGTCGTCATAACACCTTACGACGTATCTGAGGCAGTCCGTAGAGCCCCGAACTGGAAAAGTCCGGGAATCGACGGGCTGCATCACTACTGGTTAAAGGGGTTCGTGGTGTGTCATGCTGTGCTCGCCAGACAGTTCCAAGAGGCTCTCGATCAGAGGTCGCTCCCGAGCCTCTTTACTACTGGGGTCACTCATTTGGTTCCGAAAGATCAGGTTACCACAGACCCAAGTAAGTACCGCCCCATTACGTGTCTACCCACCATCTATAAGACACTGACATCTGTTCTGAGCATGAGAATCACCCGACATATTAATGTGAATCGGATTATGTCTCGTGCTCAGAATGGATGTCGTGGCGGCGGTCGTGGAACCAAGGAACCGCTTCTCATCGACGCGGTCATTGGCAAAATGGTTAAACGCAACCGTCGGAACTTCTCCGCCGCCTGGATAGACTACAAAAAGGCATTCGACTCGGTGCCCCATACATGGCTAAAGAGGGTCCTCGAACTGTACAAAGTAGACTGTACAGTAAGAGACTTCCTCGAGCACTGTATGGGGCAATGGAGTACGATCCTTTGTCATCTAGGCGAGCGGATGACGGCTGCGGAATACCGGATAAGGATACGACGGGGTATTTTCCAGGGCGACTGTTTGAGCCCAATATGGTTTTGCCTCTCCCTGAATCCTCTCAGCGTATTACTGGAGGGCTCGGGGGGAGGATTTCAGCTTCGGAGAGGAGGGACAAAAGTGACCCACCTTTTCTACATGGATGACCTCAAGTTATTCGCCTCCAATCGCTCCCATTTGATGGAATTGCTTAAAGTCAATTGTGATTTCAGCAATTCTATCAAAATGGAGCTCGGAACGGATAAGTGTGCGGTCCTTCATGTCGAAAGGGGTAAGGTCACTAATACGGCGGGCATAGACTTATCTATGCCCGTTAACATAAGGACCCTCTCTGAGGCTGAAACATACCGATACCTGGGTATGTCACAAAACATGTGTATCGATGAGGCTGGCATGAAACAGTCAGTTCGTGAAGTGTTTTTTGCACGCCTGACAAAGGTGTTTAACAGCCATTTGTCAGGCGTGAACAAGGCACGCGCATTTAACGGCTGGGTCATGCCAGTCCTCATGTATACCTTTGGCATACTCAGGTGGACTCAAACTGAGCTCAATGCCCTTGACCGTAAAGTCCGCACAACTATGACGTCCCACAGAATGCATCATCCGAGATCGTCAGTAATGAGGCTGTACCTGCCGCGGAAGCATGGCCGGGAGGGGCTTTTTGAGCGCCCTTACCATGCACAATCGCGAGGTGTGCAGCGTCCGCAACTACTTCCTGGCGAGATCGGATGAGTCAATCTACACGGACGTCATTAGTTGTGATAAAGGGCTTACCCCTCTATCCTTAGCCAACGAGCAATGGCAGGACCCGGGAGTACTGAGCGTTTCCAACCGAGAGGCCGTATGGAAGGAGAAAGAGCTCCACGGGAGGTTCTACAAGGCTCTACACGAGCCTTTCGTAGATACTGTTGCCTCCCTTAACTGGCTACGTTTCGGTGACCTCTTTGGGGAAACCGAAGGTTTTGTCTGTGCGATACAAGATCAGGTTATTAAGACGAACAACTATCGGAGATACATCCTAAA